CAGCTCATAGCTTGTTATTCAGCACACCGCTCATGGGCAATCCAGGGAAAGGCAGAGGCGACTAAAATGGGTTCCTCGGTGACTTTCGGTATCTCGGGGATCGGATTCTCGGATAACGGACCTTCGGCAGTCGGTAGACTCGGTACGGATGGCACGGATGTTCAAAATCTGGTCGTTGACGCCATCACCCAAGGAGAGTTATTTGAGTCACTGTAGCGAGGCGGGCGCAGAAGAAGCTAGGATGTAAATTTGGTTAGACATACACTTAGAAGTAAAGCAGAGGGGGAAGAGATATGCGGAAAAGCAATGTAGGCAAGATTGAGTCTACCCGCTAACTGGACATCAAGATAGTTGAACACAGCATATAGTGACCAACTCAACTTTCTTATAAGTAAATTGAATAATCAATGAAGTTACCCGGATTGACAGGAATCCCACAGCTGCAATTCTGTTTCTCCAGAATTCTCAACCCATAAGTACAGTATACTCACTGTAGTGAACATCAAGTGACTTAATTACTTATAATTACATCTGACTAAATCATCACTTACCGTGAGATTGGGATAACGTATAACCATCAGACTACGCTGTTAGTATCTTGGAAGGTGTAATTACCGGTTGCTCTGCTGTGAAGTATTAGTGACAGCGACCTGTCAACTTCTGCTTAATCGACCAAAACATGTGACATGCAGGCCCAGTGCCCCTGCTGACTGTAATGTAATGTGATGTAATTAATTCAAGCACAGGGCTTCCTGCAATTCTGACTGTCTCATTAGCTGCTGCAAGCCGGGAAGCCTCATCCCAGGCTTAGGAAGTGTTTGTAAGTATTGTACATGATTCTGTCACGTTAACTGCTCCTCCCTACGTACTTTGGTGAACATCCCCGGCCTCCACCCTCATCAGCCATAGTAATAGGCGGGTGAAAATCATCCGCGTGACGAGTATAGCATACCTGCCCACTCACGGGTATCTTTGTACATACTCTCCTTGAATCATGAGCTACCTAGTACGCCAGTACTACGTATGGAGTAGGCTAGACATGTTCATGTATAAAAAGGACTAGTACGCACAAAGATATTACTGTACAGTACATCTAGTTTCGAAACACTCAATCTGCGACCAAGAGGACTCTTTCGTTACGTGGGTTCTTCGGTTATCAGCGCTTTCATACGCTGTGGTTATTTACGCGCTCCGAAATTAGACACTTGCAGCAAAGCAGAGTATGAAAAGAACCCCGAAGAGAACACAGAATTCCCGTGTGGAGTTAGCTGCAGACATGAGGGGACGAATGTGATCGGTCGTTTGTCGGGGGTAGATTAAAGGCTGAAGCCAGGAAGTATCGTCCAATCCCACTTGAAACCGCCTCGGTCGACCATGCCATCCGGGGTTTGCAGCAAACAACCAGAGGTTTGAGCATGACGTATCCGAAAACAGTGACGAAAATCGATCGACGTCAACTTATCAGAGAGAGAGAGAGAGAGAGAGAGGGAGGGAGGGAGGGCTGAATGCCAAACCGCAGACCGCCGCACTGTATAGTTAGATCGGGTCAGGGAAAGTCAAGTTTCGTTTCGAGCCATTCACTCACAACAAAAGCCTTCCAAGAGATGGACTGCCCATTTCAGGAATTGTGCTGGTAGAGAGCGAAGACCGAGAATTGAACGCCACTGCTATGCATTGGCACGCTTGACAGACCGGCGGTGTCTCCTTGGACTGACTAGACTGGGGAAATCCTGGAAGACGAGACTATCGAGGTTTCCTCGATGATGATCAGCGGGAGATCCACCAGCACGACACTGATTTGCTCTTGCCCACTGCCTCTCCAGATCGATCAGTAGCGGTCCGAGTATGAGTAATTTGGATAGATATGACTCCACAAGAGGAATGTAGCGGAGCTGATTCCGGTAGGCGCAAGTGGAGAAGGATGGTCTAGTAGTCTGGTTGTGGCTTCGGGGCTGAAGGGCTCTAGTCCGGCGCACCATTACCTTTTCGTCGCCTGGCAGGCACAGACAGTAAGGTACGTGAGTGCTGGTCAGTCAACGGAATCGATAGTTGAGTGTGAACCACATTCCCTACCTTCTCCTTCGCCCCTCCCTCTCCCCAAATTACCCTACCCCCCCCGGGGGAGGGTGGATTAGAAGGTTGGCCTGGTCGATGCTTTCCTCCGGGGCGTTTGCCCTTCGAGTGTTAGCCAAACTCACTTGCAATCGTCCTTTCACCCGAGTCAGTTCTAAAGAGGCCGAAAATCGGCATAGATTCTCTTTCGAAGCCGATCGAACCCTAACAGGGTTTCAACGGCCAGAGTCTGTTTGAATTGTGGTTCCCAAGGAGCGCCATTGATTCCTTGGCTCTACTCATTTCTGTGCTAAATATATTAAATTGATCAATCTACAGGAATAGTGATGATGATGAAAATAGTCACAAGAAGACGCTTTATTGCATGTACGTAGAAAGACCACGCACGCTAGCCGAGTCCATCGACATGACATACATGCATGCATGATTTGACCCGAGCTGAGACCTACCTACACCAAAAATTTTATTCTTTCGTTATTCTCTCATATCAGGCAATCGGCAATGAAAGTCTGGAGGGCCTGTCAATGTACTTCAGTCGCTCCGGTTCTCGTCAACGAATTACCTAGTACATACACTGCACTAAGTCACACTGCCCTACCGATAATTTTTATTTCGACCGACAGGTTTCTTGAGCTTGCCCCAAAACGGAAAGAACGGGGTTGCTGTTTTTGTCAAGTTGGAAGTAACCGGAGTTCTAGACTTCCACAGGAACACTGGTAGGTCGTCTCATCGCCAGCGCGCTTTTGTACTGCACTGTACATGGTGCTGTGCATAATAAGTTACCGTAGAATGGTATAGGACCTATACATTTCCTAATAGGATTTATGGTAATCATCCACATAACTAGTTGATTAGAGGTCATGGAATAGCATGGATCAGATTGCAGTGTCAATCTCCGTGTTCTCGAGTTTCACCCTTCACTCGGGAATCGGAGATCAGACCGTCAAACTCGTGCTACACCAGATTTAAGGTCCCCATTGTCGTGTCAACCGTGCATGGCATTGAGAGTAAGCTCAGCATCTGTCGTCCCCACCTACGCACCCCATCATCCATCTATCTCTCCCCCCACTGCCCCCCTTAAGGCGCATCTCAGACTACGTAGTGAAGATCTCTCCATTCGGTCTTCTGTGCATTGTCTACGCTCTACAGACAGTCGAAGAGACGGAAATGCCTCTTTGCATTTCTCATCTACCTGCCTTATCCCGATCAGGCAGCTCGACAGACGTGCCAAGGTCTCACACGGGTTTAGTTCTCCTGATGCTTGGGAGGGGATCTTTCCCTAGTTCCTAGGGCCAGAGGGACAAATCCAAGGTCCCGACTCCGCTAAGCAGCCTAGAGGGATCGCCCTTGATGGCGAACAAAGTGCCTGCTAGTGCCATGGTCGGGCTTAGACTACATTGATTGTGCACGCACGTGATTGCTTTATGGCTCACTCGATCCCTGTTGACTGGACAGCTAGGTACCCTTGCCCGACTTCCTCAATTTTGTTGTCTATTCTTATCTCATCGAGATCGATCTCTCGCCTGGGATTTAAATCTCTCATAGTGCTTGTCGAGGATTAATCTCTCACTCGACCTGATTTCTTGTAGCCAAGTAACCGATAAGATGTCAGGAGAGGAATGATTTTTATATTCGTTGGATCAATCAATCAAATAGGGAAGAAAAGGAGAGCATGGCTGTGGAGAGGCGACAGAGAGATCCGCTAGTTTGACATGGGAGAATGGTGGTGCTATTCCACTGGCTTGTGGAGGGGGAAGAAACGGGTACTACTCAACTGACGCATTCCAAGGACTATCAAGCAAACCATTCAGCACAAGAGACCAGGTGAAAGAGAGATGCGATAAGCAGAAAAGGTGAGTGATTGTTGCCCCATGTTCTCTTGCTGTCTCTTGGTCCGCCTCCTTCCCAGATCGCCTCCAACATCTTCTTCAATTCAGCATCACCCTCGTCCTCAGCTTCGGCTGTTGCTTGTACAGTCCGTTACCGGGGGTCACTCAGAACCGGGGATCGACCCAGAAAGCTTACTTGCAGGGCCCAATGCTCCTGCGCATTGAGGGAGTGACAGGACCCGAGACAATGGACGTACCATCCGTGAATCTCCATGACCATCACCGCCATCCCTCGGATAATTATTTTTCTTTTTTTTTTTTTTTTTAAAAAAAAGGGAAAAAAAAAAGGAAAAAAAAAAAGGGAAATGAAAGGGGGGAGGAAAAAAGGCCAAAGTAAAAAAACAGGGGAAAAGGAAAATAAAAAAATAGAAAGTCTTTTAGATTGAAGAAAGAAGTCCGGCCGAGAGGGAGATCTCCACCCGCCTTGGCTCCCAATCACCGTCGGGAACTTGTTGCGCGTTCCTTGGGCAGCGTCGATCTCCCATGCGTTCGTTTGTCCAGATGGGCACGAGCTTCCTCCGCCAGCTCCAATTCCCTTCCATTCCTCCCCGGTCCCTTTGCCTTTCCCATCCTTCCGCCACCCAAGAATGCCTTGGACTCCGTACCATAGCCCTCTTTCACTTTGCTCTTCTTGCTCTTCTTGCTCTGTTCTGTTCCTCATCATGTGGGCTTTTAGTCAATCCTGCCCTACTCCACCATGGCATCTTTTTCTCCAGCACGGGTTCCACTTCTTTCCCCCTCCCCGTTTACTCTTAGACTTTGACTTTTAGTACCTTTCCTGACTTCAGAATTTCGATACACCTGTGGTTCACGGTCTCTTCCATCTTAGGACCTTTGCTCCGTACCTTAAACCATGCTCTGGTACGGCTGTCTCCAACCACTAAGCCTATCTTGCACATCAAGTCACCTCCGTCCTAACCATCCCCACCCACTTGCCCCCCCTCTCTCTCTGAATACTAGGTAGTTAGTCTTATACTCATGTACTTATAACTATCAGACTATTGCCCTGTTTTAAATCCACTCTGTTCGTGCATTCGCTCCTGGCATTCGCTCTTTCTCTGCTATAACGTGTTCTGACACTTTCTTTTCACTAATCCCATCTCATCGATCTCTCGTTGGCTGTTGCTCAATTACCTTGGACTTACTCGACTCCCTTTCAAGTGTATCCCGCTCTACACAAACCTCCAGCTTATTGAACTGTTCCATACCCCGTTTCACGAGGGGAGCTTCGCCTTTTCTCGAACTTGGCTCATTCTTTCCCCATAAACCTCCCAGCGTCTTGCTTTCCCCAGAAGGAGTGCCTCGCCAGAAGAGCAGAAATGAAGAACTCGATTCCATCTGATGTGTGGGAGAGGAAGAAGGCCCTTATCGCTCAGCTGTACAAGGATGAGGAGTGGCCCTTAAAGCAGGTGATCAAGAAGATCCGCTCGGACGACTTCAACCCAAGGTGAGCTTTAGTCTCTATAGTCCCCATGAAATAACGAAGTATTAACACCCTCGTTCGCTTTCAGTGAAACCCAGTTGCGAAGCAGATTGAAGAAATGGCGGGTCACCAAGCCTTCCCGCCAAACCCGCAAGAAGTCGAACGATAGTCAACAGGAGGGGTCTGGCGACGACAGTGGCCGTGAGGGCGGCTCTCCCAAGCATCAAGCCGCCATTGTCTCTTCCAAGTCTCGTGCGACTGCAACGGATCTTTCTGTGTCCGAATCAGATTGGTTCATGAATGGGTCTTTTGCACCAGAAGAAGAGCTGCCGGTCACAGTTTCCCTTGATCACGCCTGGGCCCCTGTACTGGCGCAACAATCACCATTGAGCCAGCCTAACAAGCAGAGGGACGCTTCTCATGCTTCGATGACTTCGCCCTTGCTAGACGATGTGATGGTCAACCCGACTGCGAGTTTGGCACCCACTTTCCAGGAGCATCCTTATGGTTTCACCACCGAGTCCTGCATGCAAACACCCGTGTCTTCGTCGGCCCCGGCTGCTCCAATCCAATGGTCAATTCCTCAATGGTATTCGATGCCCATGGCGCCTGGCGCCCAATCCCCCTCGATGCCTTTCTATAGCTCAGCACCGTTGAGCCCTCCGATCGACCCTGCTATGCAGCTGATGTCTCCTCCCGGGCCACAACGGGTATATACGCCACAAACGCCACCGACAGCCAATATCTCAAGACAGCAGTTGTCTGACTTACAAAATGATGGCGCGCAATTATGGAAGCGTGCCATGTCTGCCCCTTATGTCCAGGATACCGCTGGCGGTCATCCGACACTGGAACAGAGAAGCATGCAGTCGACAGCGGTGGACAGAAAGGCATCACTCCCCTCCAAGGCCACAAGTCCGCATAACATGGGCCTAATGACCCCTCCGCCCTCGTTCTTCCCTCACGGGCAGCATCCCGCTATGTGTGCGCCAATCTACACCTATCCGGGAGCCGAGACTCTTATTCATCGACCACCCAGTATCGACTTTTAAGACATTCGGGCTGTGGTCAATGCCTCATCTCACTCAAGTCCCGAGTGACTTTTTAGTGACCTTTTCTTTTCAGTCTGGCTCGCGCATTGGAGTTGCACGTTGTTTCTTCATGGTTCCGTTCCTCTCTTCTGTTCGGCTGCCCTATCTTTCTGCCTTGCTTTCTTTTTCTGTATTCAGTCCACTTTTTCTCCTTTCTCTACGTGGGCAGTTGGATCGGTGCCACGTATACAAGGGAATCCGATACCTGGCGTATCGGCTGGTAGTACCGATGCATGGAGTGGGGTGTACTGGTTCTAATGATATCCACTACGGGTCGAAGGAGTTCGGGAGCGCACGTATCGAGGGGTTTCTTGACAATGGGTCCCTGGGAGGGAAGTTTCTTATATCGCATTGAATGGGTCATATGTACTAGGTCTGCTGGAGTACTTTTTTGGAGGTTGGGGATAGGAAGATCTGCAGCCTTGACGGCCAGACAAACGCCACTATGAATATTTTATTATGGGATGTATGTATGTATGTACTGTACGCAATCCACTTAGTTCTTAATCTAGCAAGCTCAAACTTCTGAAAACTTCAACTCTCTCTGATTTTCCTTCATCTACATCCATGTTGCCTTGCAAATCCAATGAGCGGGTTTGTTTTCGAAAATACTTGCCAAGATTCTGGTACGGTATGGGGATGGTGCACGATGCTGGAACAATATCCGAAGACGGACCTCGGCACATCTAGGCCAGCGATAATTAGTGGGGAGGGGAGAGCTCGAGCTGAACTGTCTCCCACCCTCGTCCTCCGCCTCCTTCTCCTCCTTCCGCGCCCTTTTCTCCCACCTGCAACTCACCTTGCCTGGACTCAAGTCGCCGTTTGCTAACAGAAGAGCATATAGCATACAAATTTATATATTCTTGTCGATTGAGATTGCTTCCATTTCTCGTTTGCTGGTCATTCCCGATCACACCCCCGTCATTCAAATAGTACTAGCGACGCATAAACGAAATTAGCTATTCGACCACCATCATGCGGGCCATTCAGGTCACCGAATATGTGAAGGTATATGAACCCAGTCTCTCGTCAAGTGCCCGTATGACTTACTGACTGCCAACAACCAAGGGGCCTCTGGAACTCGGAGTTGTTACACTTCCTACTCCTTCTCCATCCCCGACGGACTACCTGATTGAGATACATTCGGCGGGTACCAACTTCTTCGACATCCTACAAATTCAAGGCAAATACCAACATCAGCCTCCCCTACCCTGGGTCGGAGGTTCGGAGTTTGCGGGTACGGTGCTGGCCGTGCCCACCTGTCCTTCAATGCCGCCACGGTTCGCTGTTGGCGATCGAGTCTTCGGCGCAACGCAGGGTGCCTATGCCACTCATGTCCTCGCTGCCGAACAATCCCTGCTACCTATACCAAGTGGTTGGAGTTTTGAAGATGCTGCCGGCCTCTTTGTCACGGCCCCCACATCCTACGGGGCCCTCGTTCACCGTGCAAACGTCCAGGCTGGGGAGTGGGTACTGGTGCATGCGGCCGCCGGCGGCGTTGGTCTGGCCGCCGTGCAGATCGCCAAAGCCAAGGGGGCGACGGTGATCGCGACTGCAGGCACCGAGCGCAAGCGGCAAATCGCGCGACAATTCGGCGCGGACCACGTCGTCGATTACCAAGATAAGAGCTGGCCAGATCAGGTCAAAAAACTGTGCGCGCAACACCGTACGGGAAATGGCAAGGTGGGCGTCGACGTTGTCTATGATCCTGTAGGACTCATTGAGGTCAGCCTCAAGTGTGTCGCGTGGAACGCGCGCTTGCTGGTGATCGGATTTGCGGCGGGCAAGATCGAGAAGGTCGCTTTGAATCGGGTGCTTCTCAAGAATGTCAGTCTGGTCGGACTGCACTGGGGCCAGTACGCCAAGTTCGAGAAGGAGACGGTTAAGTCTGTTTGGGCTGGCATCTTCGACCTCGTCGCGCAAAGGAAGTTCAGGGGCACTGCCTTCAAAGATGAGACTTTCGTGGGCCTCGAGAGTGTTCCCCGCGCATTGCAGGCGCTGGGTGGAAGAGAAACTTGGGGAAAGGTGGTGGTTAAGGTCATTGATGATGAGGCCGAAGCCGGCAGGAGTAAGCTCTGAGTGCAGAGGACAACCAGGCCGAAGCCCAGTCATCTCTACCTTACATTACAACTTACCAGAGGTGAGTAGGAGGTAAATCTTGGGAGCTATGTAGCAAATACTATGTGAATTCCTTCTGATAACTATCTGGAGATGCCTGTGTGATGTAGGTGCGCAAGGAGTCATGCTCTCGTAGGAAGTGTTACACGCGAGCAACATGAACTATGAAGGCCCTAAGAACTTTCTCTAGCAACTGTTCATCTGATATTCCAGATGCGGGAGCGTGAGCCCCAACAATCCAGCTCCAGTCGGCCACAGCCACAGGACGTGACATGCGATGACTGTTCTTCGAAAGAGTCCGTAGGAGATGCTCAAACGCCCTGTTTCAGCCCGGGGACTTGAAATACAGCGATCGATGCGGGACAGCTGGATTGAGAAATTTGCAGATATAGTACAAGTCAGGATTCCCCTTACTCAATCAGAGACAAAGACCATCGGGCGTTCATCCTCGAAGCTGGGTTGTGTGATGCCGCACGTTGCGACAGTGATGAGCCGAGCCTGTTTATTCAAACTGCACATGGACAGTCTCTTTCAAATAATCAGCCCGCAGATATAATGTAGCATTGTATTGGAGAAGGCATGAAGGCGAGAGAACGCGATGCTCTCGCGGGTTGATTGGACTTCATTTTGTTGTTGGTTGTTTTGTTTTGAGAAAGGAAGGGGAGGAGACAGAAGAGGGAGGGGTGGGTGAGAGCTGAGGGGGGGAGGAGCCTCGCTTAATGAGATGAGTCAGCAAACAACCGGCCGACTACCCGATAAGAGATAACATAATCAGACACTGAGCCGGTGCAACACCAAGCCGGCGGCAGTCTGCCGCCGCCTTGCTGACTGCCTTACTGGCTGCTTCCTAAGACTATTAAACCACCAATAAAAAACTATATATATTAATTCTTATTATTTTTATAAGAGTATTTTAAATAATTGTATTTTTTATTTTTATATATACTACAGCGGGCTGGCTGGTATATTCTGGCTGGTCTTAGTACTGCAGTTTAAATTATTTTAACTTTTTATATCTAAACTATATTAAAGCCCTCTTAGCCTATTAAAGTGCCTCTATACTATATATAATAATATAAGGCTTTTTTCTTTTCTTTTTTACTTGCTTAGATAGACTAAAACTGCTTAACTTATTATTAAAGTAGAACTGTATTTTATATAAACTATTCTGTAGTTTTAATTATTTTTTTAATAATTTTATATAAAACTATTAATACTAGGCCTTAATCTATAAGTTTTTATAGTTTTTATTTCTACCTTTTAAATTTATATAAATTTATAGGTGTTTTTCTAAAATAAAAAAACTAAGTAGAATATAAAAATATTAGTAGACTTAGTATTTTTAATTAAATCTATAGTATTAGAAAAATCTTTTAAAAATTTAAAAAAATAAGGCCGGTAGTACAGAATTTATTAAATATATTAATATTAAAAAAAACCTTAGTATATATACTGTAATATAGCTGTAAAAAATTAAGCTTAGTAATTAATTTCTTTTTATAATAAATAATTTTAAATATATACTGGTTATATAATTTTTTTAATAGTTTAAAGTATATAATATTAAACAGCTGCAGTTTATATAATAAATAGACTGGTATATATAAAAAAATAATTTTTTATACTATATAAAATTAATTAAACTATTAAGTTATATAACTGCTATAGCTGTTAAAAATTAATATATAATACTTACTAATAGTTTTTAAAGCTGTATATCTGTTAAATATATTTTAAAGCTAGTTAAAGCTAAATTTATTAATAGTCCAGCTATTTTTACTAATACTTAAATAATATAATATTAGGCAGACTTTATACTATATTAATTAATAATTCTATACTATAAAAATAATCTATAGTAGTAGTACTGTTTTTAAAACTAAAATTATAATAATTAAAATTATTTATTTATAGTTTTTTAGCTGTATATATTTAGTATATAATTCTTATATTTTTAAGCTATAAATTATATAAGCAGTTAAAGCAACTTTTATTTAAAATCTAGTCTTATCTATATTTTATATATCTTTATTAAAAATACTATATTTTTGGACTGTATTGTAAACAAGGTTAAACTATTTATAAGGGCTAAAGGGTGAAATAGTATGATAAATAAATAGCTTTTGCAAAGCCAAGAGTGCTAATATATTATTTTAAGGTGTTGTTACTGCCTTGTCTAACTTGTAAGGCAGCTGCTGCTTTTAAAAACAGCTGCAGCCGGCTTGCTTAGCTGTTATATAACTGCTGTTTTAAATTATTTATATATATTTTTTTTTTACAGATATCTGTAAAGGTTAAAAAAGCTGTTTAGATTTTTATAACTATTTTTTTTTATAAAAAGATATTATTTTTTATAGTAGTACTATTAAAATCTTTACTTTGTAAATATTTTTATAAAAAATTAGAGTAGTAAAAAAAATAGTTTACTATTTTATATTTTTATAGGGGGTATACTGTACTGCTTTTACTATTATTTTTATAAAATTTTTCTACTGGTATATAGTTTACTATTTATTAGCTGATTTTTTTATAATAGCCTATAAATATTTTTTTTTATAATTAAAAAGATTTTTTTTTTAGTAAATAGTATTAAATTTTTTTTAATTTATTTATTTTAGCTGTTTAAAATATTTTATAATTAAGGCTAGTAGAGCTAATCTTATAAAAATAAGATTTTTTTTTATATAAAAAGATTTTTTTTTTAAACCTCCGGCCTTTTTTTTTCTGTAATTTTCTTTTTTTTTTTTTTAATAAGTTTTTTTATATAGTATTTCTTTTCCAGGTGCTTTTATAAGTTAATATTTAGCTAACTTTTTTTTTATAGTAATATTTAAAATATTTTATTAGTTTTTTTTATAAGGGCTTAGCCCTATTTTTTTTTTTTATAAAAGTTAACTAATTTTTTTTTACAGTATACTATTTAAGCTCTGTACCTGCAGATTTTATTATTTTATTTTATTTTATTTTTTTTATATAAATTATTTATAAAATAGATTTAGACTTAATTAACTGTTTATAGTATATTTTACTATTTTTTTTTATTATAAAAAAAATATTTTTATTACTACTGCTGCTACTAAATCTGCTGCTGCTACTATTATAAATATATTTATTTTTATTATATCTACTACTACTATTATTTTAGCTTCTATTTTAGTTTTTAGTTTTATTATAAATTCTACTATTACTACTACTACTGTTTTTTTTTTATATACTACTATTTATATATAAAAAAATAAGATTTTTTAGCTTATAATAATAAATATTATAATAGCCTCCACAGCTTCTACTTTTATATTTTCTAAATTTTTTTTATTTTTTATAGGTATATCTAGGGCTGATTAAAATTAGCCGGCTTTTTATAAATAGACTAATAATAAAAAATAAAGTATTTT